ACATCCTAAAACACACTATAAAAAAGAGTTTAGAAAGTTTTTTAAACTAAGTCACTTTCTTATAAATAATCTCCATTGAAATTTGCACTTAAAAAGAGAGATAATTCTTAGAACTTTTAACAATGCTAAATGCCACCTTCTCTTTCCAATTAAATCTTTGCTTCTGAATAGAGATGTATCATTTTACTGATAACAGGACTCTTTGTCAGAGAATATTTAAAGTCCAGTGATGGCAAATATAGTGCTAAGCTGATCACAGGGAACTTATTTCTATATTGCAAGCAAAGCTACACAGTAAAATTGTTGAAGTAGGCAACAGAGGGTTTTTTAAAGCACAGAACTTTGCAAGAAAAGTAAGATCTTTGACCAAGTATTTCAGAATACTTTCACAAAACCATTGGAATATTGAGAAAAATGGTGGAATTTAATGCTAGTTGAAGTTGCAGGGCTTTTACCTCGAGTTTCCTCTCCAAACTACCTGAAGCCAGGAGTCTGCAATCACATTGGTCCATGCAAGTCTAACAGACAGCACATGGGATCAGGCTACAGGGCTCTCTAGCCAGGGTGCTGAAGTGAAAACCCAACTTTTTTTTCAGTTGGGTTTAAAGCCAATGTTTTAAAACCTCAAGATGTGCTTTTATAGCAATAAAATTGTAATGTCACATAAATATTTTAATACCCAGTTCTACTTTTTTTAAATAAAAGCATATAAATTTTAAAAGTCTCTCACCGGCTAACATGGCCAGTCTCACAAAGCATATATGCTCTTTGCACTGAAGTCCACCTGAACTGAGTACAGCTTTTACATTGCCAAGATCTGACACACTGAAGACCGAGCCCTGGCTCTATACAAGAAATACATTGCGTAGTTTTCCAAGATGTGTATTGTTATAATGGATGCATCTAATATATCCATTTTTCTCTTGGTTACTTACCTAAAACAATGGAAAGCTGAGCTGAATTGGATCCACGGGTCCAATTTTAATACAATGGGTATAAGAAACAGAACACAGAATAAACAGGGCAATGTAAAGAGAGCACTAAGAACTCCTCAAGAAAAATATACAACTTCTTGAAGTAACTAAGATCCCCAAGATATACAAAGACTAAAAACTCCTCGCAGTTCTCTGACTGAGATTTGAACACTATAATACTGTCTGTACTGTAATGGGCTTTCCCTTGGCTGTGCATCTTTAGTGTTTGTTGTTGAGAACACTGACCTACAAAAACTAGGAGAAAAAAAAAACAACTAACTGATGATTAATGAATCCAGTATTTCTAAGAAATAAAGTACACCAAGTATACTGCTTTTTCAATTCAACATAATTTGAAATCTAGCAGTTTGAAAGAATCTTATAGGCTTCCAGATCCATCCCTTTATTATTATTAGGTCAAAACTAAAGGAGGAAAAATGTATTGCTATTTATTATTTGATACTGTAAAACACCCTAAAGCCCTCTGATGGACTTCCATCCTATGCACATATGTGCTGCACACAGACACAATTCCTTTCTAAAATTTCTTACAGTTTCTGTTAAGAAATTGATACCTTTTTAGGTAAAATGCTTTTTTAAATAGATTTCTATGCTTTAAAAGGTAACAACCTGTTAATATGCTGTCTTCCTAATGTCCATACAAAAATTGTTACATTATTTGTTGCTATGAAACAAAATTTCAGGATAGCTGATGGTCCTATGACAAGGTAATGTGCTATCATTGATCAATACAGCACATGAACTCCAAACCTCTCTCAATTTCAGTAAGAAATGCTGTGAAAAGGTCTTTGGCTTAGAAAAAAACCCACTAAATTTTACAGTGCTCCCAGCAGGCTCTTTCTGATATGGAAAAATATAAGTACTCAAGGTAGCCCCATCCTCCCTGACTTAAACAATGAAAGAAGACAATTCAATTCAGGTCCTTTGAATCCAAGAAGAAGACAACATTGCCTCAAAGCAAGAAAGAAACTCAAACAAACAAAAGACCTGTAGGGCATCCTAGTATGTAAGACATCACCTACTTCAATCTGTTAACCCCGTCTAGTTCATCTGTGATAACCACGCAGTGAATTTTATTAAGAAATAATGACTCTGCTTCATGATTGCCCACAATGACTTTCAAACAAATCTGTACCCTTCACTAGCAAGCACATGAGAACCTTTTCTTCAGACAATCAGTGTTTCAAGCTCCAACAAGCTTCAAGTTGAACACAAAATGCCCAACTGAAAGGGCTATTAATCACAAAGTTTAGATGTCTATCCAAGAATAATATGCATAAAATTACAACAGGACATTTTAGATTAACTGTGCTGCTAGCTAGGGAATTTTGGTGACTTAACAGCATTGCTATTTACACATTTCTGTATCTTACTGCCAGGCAAGGAGAGCAGAGCAGCAGCATTCCATGTATTTCTTCAGTGCACTACATGGCAAAATAATACAGTTCTGATCTTGTCATTCACAACACACTTTAGAGTTGTACTTACAGTTTCTTCTAACTATTCCATCCTGTGAGATTTTTCAGCACATTTTATTTCACATAAGCTGAATAACAGTTATCACAATGTCACCCCATAATTTACTAGTTATTTTAAAGGAAGTGTTAGCCTCTTACATGTTTCTACTCAGAATTATCATCAAATCACACTCACTATGATTCATTCAATTTCATATTTTATCTAACATAAATGCTCTTTTATAAATGCAGTTTGAAATGGGAATGGATACTGCAGGACTGCTGTTCATTTTAGAAAGACATCTGCATAATCAAAGAAAAGTAATAAAGCATAATGTAATATAGACAGATGTTACATACAGAAATACTACGTATTAAGAATATGATTGTTGATATAGCTTACGAGATGGGGTAATAGGGCTCTATTTCAGATTCTGAGCAGTAGAATAGCTTTCTCAGATACGCAACAGATTTTATTTAAGGTCCCAGAGGTGTAACAGTCAACCAATTTAATAGCAAGTAAAACTGCAGCATGATGCTCCAGTGCAGAATGCTCCATCTAAAAAGTGCAAACAGCAAGAAAAGAGCCGTTGCAGTTGGAGTTAATTTGAAATGTCGAGGTCTTTTAAGAACTGGCATTAAAATTCTTATGAAAAACCAAGAGAAAAGAACCCCAGCACACTAAGATGCAGCACTGACTGGGGGTAAAAACTTTATCATGAAACTAAGATCTGAAGAGGTGTCTCTAAATCTATGTGCTGGTAGGCGACTTTAGGAAGGTCTCTTCCATGCTCTGAGCTCCATGATGAGTTCCATCGCTCCTAAGGGACATGAGACCTTGTATTTGTTACACTGACTTCAATTGCAGGTTTCTTCAGGCAAGGACTGTCAGAGTCTGATTGGACTCTGCATATTATTTCATTAAAAAAACAACAAAATGTCCATTTTGCTAAAACTGGAAGCTTATTCCAGCTGGCAAGAATACAGTTGCTACATCCTCCCTATGCCATGGATAGCCCTAAACACATTTAAATTAACAGACTGATTTTGAGCCAAGCTGATACTTATAGTCTGCTGTGGAAAGGCATTATGAGAAATATAATGCTGTCAAACTAATCACATTAATACAACATTGTAAACTAATGCTGCTGCTTTTGCTGGGAGAGACATGAACATAAAAATCTATTGTAGAGGATACTTGCTGATTAAAAGAACTGTAAAGACTAAAGTGAACACAATTTTATTGTTCCAGTATAAAAAATTATAAGCTAATGTCAATGCAACTTATCTCCATGATCTCCAGCATTAAAGTACTACAGCGAAACTAGCAAGCTATTGCAGTGAAAGCATGCATATGACATACAGTTACCTAGTATGTAGCTGTTATACCCATGATAGTAGCAAGAATCGAAGCGTAAAAATGCTGAAAGGCAGTTTGCGTTCAAGTTCCTTAAGGGCACAGAACAACAAATGATTTGAGATATCAAGGGCTGAAGCCTACCTAAAGAGACATGAATGAGACATAGGCTAGGAAACTGGGAAATTCACTTTTTGCCATATTAATATAATTTACCTGCTGTTCCAAACACGTCATACTTGAGCTGAGGTTTCCTGAGGTTTAATGGCTACCCATTGTTAAATAATTTTTTAGATTACTTGTATTCATGCACAGAAAAAGAAAATCTTGGTTAATACGGCTGTTATGAATACCTCACTGAGGAAACATTGCTCAAACTCTTCATGCACCCACAAATAACGTCAAAGACCTAAAGCTTTAACTGCAGGTCGTGTATTGTTAAATGTTCTGCTATCCCCACCTCTCCTTTAAGTGAGTATCACCCTATCACCCAAGAATTAGGAGATGTGAGCATCAGTGGCTCTGACATAAATAAGTTTTGGCTATCCTTTCTTTCTGAGGATGGTTTACATAAAGGAACACCTATTTGCTGACATCACACTTCCCTACAGTTGGCATCTTTCTATCATCTTTAAGGTGTAGGCAAGAGATGAGGGGTTTTGTATATCTGGGCAACACAGCTGGTACATTCTCTTTCCACATATTTTCTTCACCAACTGCAGGAAGATGTTTCAGTGATCAGTATGGCCAAAAATTATGCTTCCATTATTCAGACACTATCATAGGTCCTATGTGAATTTATAATTTCTGTGGTAAGAAATGTAATACCTAACTGGTATTTCAAAGCACTTTTTAATACCATGTATCAGTTTCAAGAGCCTATATATTCCACAGTTGCTTATACCTCACTGCCTCTCTATTTGTCAACCTGTGCTATTACTTAATGGAATTTAATTCAGAATATATATTCTACTGTACTTCAATACCTAAAAAATACTGTCTATATTCTATTATTCAAGACACAAAAATTATACAGGAAATAATTAACTGCTTTTTCATTACTATGCCATATACATATATACGTATATATATACATAAAGGTTGTGATACTCAATGCAAACCTATGGTAGCTTAAATGCTATCAAACTGCTACAGCTTGCTTAGTTCATAGAATTATTGGTTTTGGCTTACCCAAATCTGTAGCTTAATTCTTTTTTCATTTTTGAAAACTGTTTTTACTTTGAAATCGATCCCAACCGTGCTTACAAATGCAGACGTAAAGGAATCATCAGCATATCGGAACAAAAAGGAGGTTTTCCCAACACTGCTGTTGCCAATAATGAGCAGTTTGAACATGTAATCAAAGTTCTGGTCAGATGTTTCTTTCTGGCCATATCTGGAATCTTGAGCGGATGCCATCTGTAATTCAAAATGAAAAGAAATTGTTTATTGTCTCTTGTATCGTATAAAACCAGAAACATTCAGATTTTATTGGAGTTTTTGATATCAGATATTAATGAACTCAAGAAGAAGTTCACAGATGATTGATTAATTTCATGGTTCTTGTATCCATGGTAATAGTTCTGGTTGCAAACGAGAATGCAAACGTCCGTGGTGGCTGGTACTAAAAAAATAATTCTAAAAATCTGGGGGAGTTCTTGTGTATATAATTAAAAGAGCTACATTCAGAAGATGTGATGAATTAGCCAGACAGTGACATTACAAGCAAAGATACTTCACTTGAACAAGAAGGAAATAAGAGATGCATGCTGTGTTATGACACGAGATATCTTTCCAAACAAAAGTTTAACATGTTTTAGATTTGATAAAATTCTTGAATCATTTATTTTACTGTAAATATGCTGCTGGCTTTTGTAATGCCTATCACTGTATTCAAAGTATTTTGCCTTTACCAGTTTTCAGTTTATCATGCCATTAAATAGTGAGTTTGGTATATACCTCTGAAATTTTTTTTTTTTTCCAATTTTACTCTATTTATAGTTTGGAATTTGCAATTAATATGAGCTATCAGTTGTTAATGTTTTCAAATTTGAGTCCTTAAAATACAGTTTCTAATCCATATAAAACAGCTGAATCAGCACAGATTACTGAACACTGCTTAACAGCAAGGCTATTTTGCTCTAGGGACTTCAAAAATCACAGGTTCCATTTATAAAAAAAATACACTTCTGGCTTTCAGAAGAGTTGCAGAAATTAACTTTAAAACCTGACCAAAATTCTGCCTGGGATGTTAAAAAATCAGGTGGCAGAAATAAAGACCTTAGAACTAGGTAGTGTTTCACCTCATGTGCTTTTTGGGAAAAAATCTCATGTTTTTGGGGAGCCTGGCATGATTTTAAATTCTTGGAGTTTGGCAACACCAAGGTCAGCACTTTTGAATGCTGATTTCAGGCAGGAAGACAGACATAATATCCTAACACAAAGGTTTATAGAAAAGCAGGTCACCTCAAACCTTTCTAAGCTAGACATCTCGGAGTACATGTGAGCAGTCAGAGTGGTGAGCTGGAAACAGTGTGAGGGCTGCACAATAATCCACCTTCTCAGCAGAATTTCAATTATGGCATAAATTTTCTGAGCTAATTCTGCTGTATCATAGCACAAATAACAGTATGCCAGCTTCTCTGAGCTACTGAAGAGGCATATAGAAGTGGGGACAAAAAGTCCTGAAGGAGACAATGGAAATAACAAGCTTATGAGAAAAAAAAGTCAGTATAAGCTTGTACTCCATAAAAAATGCAGTAGGGAGTGTTTGATTTCAGAATTAGCCTTTTATTTGGTAGTGACTAAAGATCTTGATTAAATGCAGTCTTGGGTACCTATGTGCTTGCACCCTGAGTACTTGCATTGGCCTTAGCACTTATTCACTTTCACAGACATGCAACAAAGAAGTTTTAGAACAAAACCCTAAATATTACCTAGAATACACACCACTATTTTTATAACTTTCTGATTTCTAGACAAAAGGAGATCATGTTAACCTTCACTACTCTCCCTCATTTTTAAACTATTCAGGGATATTTTGCTTAGAACATGAGAAAAAGAAAATCAAATGCTGCTTATTCCTGTCTAATCACAACTGGCAATAAAGTGGTAAGAGTATGTTGACATTGTGTTTGCAACAGTTTGCAACAAGTCAATAATTTCAGCAGCCAAAAGACTGTGAAGTGGCTGGGGATGCCAGTGTGCAACCTGTACACTTGCCCAGCAGCCGGTTCTGCTGCCCTTCTGGCTCCTACCTGCAATGCAACAGCTGAAACCGGAGGTTGGAAACCACTTCTAGCAAGAAGAATAATCTCCTTTCTTGATTTTTTGATGTCCTAGGAAGCCTCCCACATAGCTTTTTCAACTCACTTAAGGTTTACAAAAAGGGAGTTTAACTTTCATTGCTGCCTTCAGTCCTATGTGCCTTACAAATCATCACCATATACTTTAATGCCTATTACTTCAGAAACAGTATGATTCAGTCAGGAAAGGAATCAGGAGACCTGGATTCTAACAACAGTCTGGGTAAATTTTGTACATTATGTAGCCTTACTGAGTAAGAACTTGTTTCCTGTGGCTGGTTTTAAATGCAGATTTTTCCCACAGACAGATTTCAGTGCTCCTCTAAATTTATGTGCATTATCCATGGAATAGTTTCCTTAATAGTTCTTAAAAAATAGTAGTAAAAATAAAAAACACACACACACAACCCAAAAAAAAAACCCCACCAAAAACCATCTTCACTATGCCATAAGCTTATGGATTCATTACTTGCAGGGTCATAGGCAGAATTATGGACAAGCTAAACACAGAAGTGCAGCCAGCTTCTATTTCAAAGCATGCCTGGCTATTACAGAAGGCAGAAGGCACAGAAAAGGCATGGGAAAGGACTAATTTTTGTACCTCCCACCTGAGAAATCATGAGCTCTTGATAATAATTCAAAATGTTTGAAAAGACCACTTTAGCCTAGGGAGACAGTCTCCCTAGATTACCAATAGCGATCCTTTCTTGTGTCCAAAACCCAAATGACTTTTAGAAAAGTACTAGTGCCTTCATGAGTCTGGAGGAACATCAAACTCAGGACATGTGTTAAGACCTTGCTATTACTTCCCCAACTTATTCATTGTGTACTAAGCACAAAGACAGATTCTTCAGAATACAAACTCACATCACCTATATCAGGCTCCCACCCTAAATGATACTCTAGAGTCTCTATTTTTTTGCTGACTGTAAGGGAAACCCAAGATATTTGGTCCTCTTGAACTTCTGGAATATTTCTGCAGTGTTTTCTCTGTTTTAAATGCAAGCTGCTGACTTCCAGTAACTATGGGATGCACTGCAGCCCTCCTGCTCATGTATTAATATGTCAGTTCACCCCTAACAGGAGTTGTCCCAACTATGGAGGCACTTGGCAAAGAAACGTGAAGAAGACAGTGCTGATGCTATGTTCTTCCTTTGGAAACAATGCTGGAAATAATCACCAGGAATGACATGTTCATACCTGTAATTAAATACTACATACATGGACAAGAACCAAATAAACATGCCAACCTCACTAACATTATGATATTCTGTTTCCAAGAAAGCAAAACTCTTTCATTTATTTTCACAAAGTTCTCTCATATGATTGAATGCATATATTAAACACCCATCAATTTCAGCAAAACACATTAACTTTTCTCTGCCATAAAATTTTGTCCTCATTTAGTAGAATTGAAGACAGAATGTATAAGAGTATTTTCAATAGCATACTGCATATTTATTTTTTTGTAGAAGGAGTCCCTATTTCAGATCCTTACATCCATTAGGATTTCAGTACCAAAGGCAGTCTCAGGCCACCTCCTAGAGAATTTAGGAGCAGGTACAATTCCCCCAGCCTCCTAGAGGATTTAGGAGTAGATATGTCCACAGCTAGAATATGGTCCAAGGACAAAAAAGGATGGCTTCCCTGCTTACAGCACATCTTGAAATACCTAAATGTCCATTATTTATTGGCATAGAAGAGTTTTATCATTAGGCAGAGTTTTCTGTATCAGACCCAGGTACTTTTCAAGTCTTGTGCTCAGCTGTTCCCTTGATCTCAAAAGAACAGGTTAAAACAGGGCAGGGTTGAGAACCAATGTGAAAAAGTATGTGTTCACCTTCACAATAATAACAAAACACTTGGCTGTGTTAATCTCTTTATGGCCATAGAGGACCTCATTCATTGACAGAATCAATTTGATCAGCTTTCTCACTTAAGTAGAGCAGTATGCCATGAGCTCCCTGAGCTGCACATAACTTCAGTTTGCACTTATGTATACACCCCACTGTGAATGCCCAATGCAGGATGAATTTGCCCTGGCGAATATGATGCAAAAGGCAAGAAAAACTGGAACTGAAAATATTGAGGTTCACTCCTTTGTGCACTTCACAGTGTTTTATTTCAAAAAAACCTGAACTTCCTACACACTCAATTTCTGTGAAGTGACCTTTTTGCATTTTGTAAAATATAGTTAGTTAAACATAATAAATGGATATTGAAACAATGAGATACAATTGGAAAATTTAATGTTTGTAACTCACTGGACCACATGTAGGATGCATGAGTTGTCTTTAATGTGCAGATCAGATGTCACCACCAGAGTCAAAATGTTACCATGCTCTGTATTTATAAGAACACTATGACAACATAACCCAGTCATGAAAAGCTCAATTATTTTCAAGGTATACCAGATGAATAATCTAGAGATTGGGGTTTATTCCTAACTCTTTCAGGGGTATCCTATGACTTTTTTCTTTCCTTTTTTTCTATGTCTTGAGCAAGCTGCTTCAACTCTTACTTCTCGTGTTCTCTCAATTAATACCTCAATATCCACAGATGCAGGCCACAGCCAATTCTCACAAATCCTTATCATCTAATTTTTAACTGAGCATTTAATAATTAATTTACTGTCCATGCTCTTCTGTACCATTAATCGCAAGATACATCATAGACAAGAGGAAGTTCTGATGGGAAAAAAGATCGTGCATTAGTTTCTATCAAATCTCGAAATTTTTAAACATGGGAAAAAAAAAACAAAACAACAACAACAAAAAAAAAACCAGAGCTTTGTCAGATCCATAATATACCAAGTCACAGTGCTGGATGGTCAGTGGATGATGCTGATGACCCAGTGCTGACAACAGCTCAGATCCATCAGATGACCTAGAGACAGGGGTTCTGGGGCTACTGCTCTCGCAGGAATTTCACACAGTTCCTCCTGTGAAGCAAGCAGGCTGATTTACTGGGGTTTTTCTACTCTTGGTGTAAGGCTGGTTGGTTAAGGAAATAATCTTAACTTTTTTTTATCAGATACACACACTGTCTATGAGACTTCTAGTGATTTTGTGTCAATGTATTTTGCATCTGATTTGTTCGTCTTTCCTCAGTATTAAATTTCCAGTAATTAATAGAAATTACTGTCACACACACTGCTACATCTTAATAAATTAAACTAGTAATTCATAAGACTTAAGAGTTCAGTGGACAATGTGCCAGCCACTTATTTGGAATATACGGATTGCCAGCCATCTGCAGAGCACAGCTTGTGAATCAATGTACTTGGCAGCACCAAGAGAAGCTTATCTGCTTCAAGGTATTATGAGGTTAGATTCATGAATATGTGTAAGCATATTCAGCATAACCAGCACAACCCAGTCTGAAAAGTTAGACACGCAAAGTTTTATTATAAGCAGTGTACTGAAATGCCAAATTGGGGAATATCAAGAAGATAGAGAGAGGTGGAATCCTAACACATTTTAAAGAAACTCTACTTGTTTCGTATCAGTAGAAGCAGCATGGATGTGGCCACAGTGCTGGCAGATGCCCAGGACTGCAGAACACAACAGTAAAGAACAGCAGTAAAGAATAGTTTTGGCAAGGCTCTAGCACGTGGATATGGATGAATCTACTTTTGGTGAGTTACAGCATTATCCCACATTTATCATTCTTTAACCTAAATTTACCTTCTCCACGAAAAGGGTAGCTTAAGAATGCTACAATCAAATCAGTTAAGGAGTGAAATTTGAAGTGAATGAATCAGTGTATGAATCGCTGAGAAATTCCCACTGAACCTTCACTTCTGAAAGTACCAAGAAAGCCTTACGGAAAACTGCTGAGAGCTACACAGACATTTCAATAAATTCAGATGAATACAAACCACACAGACTTCCATGTTTTTCAGAAAAAGAGAGTTCATCGCTTTTGACTTCTAACCCAAAGCCCTCTTCATGGCCATAAGAACTACTAAGACTAACTTCTGTTTTTGAAAACATGGCTAGAAAAATTAAAAGTAGTTACAAACTCTGACACAGATCCAATTATACCCAGCAGATGACAACAGCAAACTTTTATACCAGGTGACTCCTCTTCTGGAAGGACTTTCTGGGCTTCCTTTCTTGTAACTGTTGGCCCTTCTTGCCTACAGAGAAATGGCATGAGCTTCAAACAAAGAATTCATAAAAATATAAAGACAGTGACACCACACAGGCCCCTTTTCTCATCCTGCTAAAATACTTTAACTTTTTAGTTTTCTATTTAATTGCTTCTTGATGGAAATTTGAAAAAAAACTCTTCTCAGAGTTGCTTTTGTCATGATCAAGAGACATATACTTGATCACTCCTTCTGTTGTTCTAGAAGTCAGAGATGGTAGCTCTGTAACACACTGATCTATAAATTTGTTGTGTGCAAAAAGGAAACTTCATTTCATGTAATAGGAAATCAGACAGCTTAAAGAGATAAGTCAAGCAATTAGGTCAGCCAGTCTATATCATATTTGAACAAGGATCAACCATATTAGCTAATGTTGGAAAACAAAAGGACTCTTAAGAAGAAGAATCTCCAATAAATATAGTTTTACTGGAATCTTTAATAAGACAAAATGTATGCTGAGAATAGTGTAAGTAGAAGAAAGAAGAAAAATCATGCAGAAACAACAGAAAATTAAGCCTCATCTACTAGACTGCATTTTCGTATCTTGGAAAAATCCAGATGCTTGTGATTATTATTTTGGATGAGATATGCTTAAAAATAGACAGTGTTTGGCCATTTCAGCAGCCTTGAAAAAGTGGAAATTTTAGGGTCTTTTACAGCACTCTGCTATCTCTTTTTACCCTTAGGGTGTGATTTTTGACAACTTTCCTTCCATTATGTTTAACAATAATTCTGTCTGTACTTTTTTATGATTTGTCTAATTATATAAAAAAAACAAGAAACTGTTCTCTGATGTGTCAAGTACATATATTTTTCTTTTCTATCTGGATTTTAGATTTTATTATAATGCTGTGCCATCATTTTGTTTCCACAACTATTTAATAACATCAGTTCAACACCCACCAAAACCACCAAATGCAATAGTGACCAAAGTGTAGTTGTCATCCTTTATTAGCAGAATTTGCTTTTAATGAAATGTTCTCCAAAGCCAATACGTACTAGGCATCACTTCAGTACCTCAATAAGCGTGTGTACATAAGTTGCAAATACCACAAAAACATTTCCAACATATGCATGTAGCATGCAGAATTGGGTATTTTAAACTGCATCCTAATTATTGTTGTTCTCCCATCAGAAAACTGAAAGACCTTCTTACTGAAGAATAGCTTATTTCTAGTGCATTTCTTTAGTTAAAAGGTTTCAGCATGTGTCATCTGAACAATCGCTCTGCAAAAGATTTATAAGATTATCGGTCTCCCTCCAAAGTCAAGCAAACCCAAGTCCTTATTAGGATAAATTAAGATTTCAGACTTCTTTTTGAGCATGCGTATTGAAAAGATGTTGATCTTCCCTTCAGGCTGAAATCTTATTACTGATGGAGTAGACATCCATCAGGAAATATATCAGCTAAGAAAGCTGTACTTTATAACTTAAATCACAACAGCCTGCAAAGCGCTTTTTCCATTCTTTAAAATCAGCGGGATTGATTGTTACCAATTCACTGGTAACACGACTGATCTTCTATCAAAAAAGTAACTGAAGTACAGTTCAGTGTAAACTGGTTTGTTCCATAAGGTAGTAACTGCTAAAAACTCTCCATAACCTAACCAGTATCTCTACAACATCTGTTTCTCCAGTACTAAGAGGTATTATACTTTTACATATAAATGAGCTGCTAAAAAGGGGCCATCTCTTTGCTATCCCCAGTTCTGGCCATGAGCCTCGCGCAGGAGGATAACCGTTCATTGAAGAAACAGGTGGAGATACCGTGCAACTTCCTGTGCATCCAGGGAGGACCTCATCCCCCAACACGATACACCCGCTCATTCCCAGGGAACAGTGCTCAACGGGCAGTGTCTGTAAAACACAGTTGAGGCTGCCCGAATGAGACTGAAACCCACTCGCGGCCGGCTGGTGGCACAGACACGGCTTTCCCGGCTCCCCTCACACAAGGGGCGTCCTCACCCTCCTCCTCCTCACACCCCCTGGCCACCAGCGGGCCCGGCGGCCCTGTCATGCCGCTGCAGATCGGAGGGGCTCCTGCTCCGTCCCCCCGGGAGCCCGGCTCTCGGCCGCGCTGCGCCTGCCGCCCCCCCTCGCGGGTCGCTCGGCCTCGGCCCTTGACCGACCTGCATGGGCGCTTCGTGCCTCATGGCCGAGCGCGGCCCGCCGCCCGCTCTGCCGCCACCCGCTCGCGTACGCCAACAGCCACCGCCGCCGTCAGCCCGGGCTCTGCTGAAACCCCGCGTCGCGATCAGCACCGGAGCTGTCCCCGCTCCTCCCCGGCACCGCCCCTCTCTCCCGCCTACCCCGGGGAGCTGTAGTCCCTCTGTCCCACTCCCCCGTGCCCGCAGCCGCCGGGGCTGGAAGGAAGGACTACAACTCCCGGCGTACTCCGCGGACCACCGCCAAAGAGGAGGGCACAGGGGGCGGTGGCAGGGCGAGAGGAGCGCTTTGAGAACTTGTGTGGGGGCCACTGAGGGCGGTGGCGGAGTGACACGCCGGGCGGGGCAGGGCACGGTGGCGGTATGGGGGGCGCGGAAAGCAGCAACGGAGCTAGAGGAGCCGGCAGGGTCCTTTCCGAATGCCGGCGGCTGGCACGGCAGGCAGCGTGGGCTGCGGGAGTTGCTCGAAGGAGTGCCGCAGACAGTCGCTGCTCCCGGGCCATGGCCTGCACCACGGCAGGCAGCGAGGGCTGCGGAAGTCGGTCGAAGGAGTGCCGCAGACAGTCGCTGCTCCCGGGCCATGGCCTGCACCACGGCAGGCAGCGAGGGGGTGGTGGCCGGGAAGCACCGGCGCTGCACGGACAAGTCTCGACCTTGTGTTCCTGGACCACCCCCGGGGCGGAGTCGCTCCTCCCTGCCAGCAGGGGGCGCCCTGGAGTAGTGGTCCTCCGCGCTCACGGGCTCTGTCCCCGTTCCCCCACAGGCAGCCCTGGGGCTGAGCGAGGCCGGGCACCCTTCGGCATGGTGGCTGCTGGTTAATGCTTTTTCTGTGGTGTAGTGACAGCCCCTGCCTACACCAAGACTTCTCTTGGTCTTCTCTGGTTGTCCCTGCTTTCCTCACCTGATTTTTCTCCAGCCTTTGACAAACGGTAGCAGGCAGGCGTCAGGGTTGTTCAATGGCAGCAGCCCAACGTTGACATGGTGTCACTGCTTCTGGGCAGTGGTACTCAATTTTGATGGCAGTATGGAGGTCATCGTGAGGAAATGTTAACAAAGCAGCCAAAAAGCACATCTTCTGCATGGTTTTTATTGTCCAAGAAGGTGTTTTAAACATCTTTGTTGGCATAACGTCATATTTTTCATAACCCCATCCTCTAATGCATAGTCCATACACATTTTGGGGCCCAAATATATGGGACCATAGAATCATAGAATGTTTTGGGTTGGAAGGGACCTTAAAGGTTATCTATTTCCCCCTGCCATGGGCAGGGACACCTTCCACTAGACCAGGTTGCTCCAAGCCCCGTCCAGCCTGGTCTTGAACACTGCCAGGGATGGGGCATAAAACTGTGTTCCCCAGCAATGAGGTATCCATTGTAAACAATCTGTATATAAGGGGTACTAATGTTACAAGAATAATGGCATTAAAGACATAAACTAAACCAGAGACTTCAAGACTTCATAATGCTAAAATGAGTTAAAGGACACAGCAACCTGTGAAATAACTTGAAATTGTTCCTTATATGATCTAGGACTCTGTTATGACAGTGCATCATACACAAATTCTTACGTGAATAAGAGCCAAAGGAATAATTCAGAATTTTTTAAAACTTTCGATTTGTTTGGTCCTATTTGGGAAGTTTCATTCATACAGGGAATGTCAATCCATAGTTCAGATGGGGATTAATCCGTAGTCGAAAGGATTACTCCCTAGAGCAAGGTCAGCATGACTAAATCCTGGATTTCTCACTCATACTGAAAACAAGCCAATAAGCAGATCAGTCTTGTAACCTACTTGTGAGTAATACTCATACATGAATGTGTCTTCATAGCCTGCATGTAAACAATGTGTGAAAGTCCAGGCTGGGCCCAAAAATCCCTGGGTCATCTAATGTCAGGCTGCTAAATCTGGCATCAGGAACTTAATAGTTTGGTTTCAGTCAGCTAAAATTCTTCCTTCCTTCTAAATGACAGAATATATAAATAGTGGTGCATTCAGCTTTTAGATTTGGCTTTTTGTCCACTCCTGAAAGGGTAAAGATGAACCATGGGTGTAAGCAGCAGAGGTGGCTCATGCTGGGATGTCAGCCCAAGGGTTGAGAGCTGGATGCTGTCTGGGCAGGGAGGGAAGGGCAGGAGAAGGCAGCTGCGGTGTCTGAGGCAGCAGGAAAACAGCCTGCCTTGCAGGCTACCCACTTCTATGTATGTGGTATGTGTTGTATAAAGTAAATCACCTTTGGGATCTAGGACATAGTCAAATTGTATAATAGAGACATCAATATGGATTAAAGTGTATGTCAGAAGAAATTTCATTCTAGCTCTGCAGATTTTTAATTTCTTTAGAGCTATTTAAACCTACCTCACCATAACATAAAAATAGGAATTAAGTGGAGGTTTGTTCAAAGGAATGATATATGCCATCATGCATATTTGCAGCCAGTTCTTTCTGGCACGAAACACTGAATGTTACTCTTTCTGATAATACAGGCATGTAGACATCATCAATTTTCTCAACATTTTAGACTACCTGTATGTGTGCATGCATGCATGAGCATGCTAAGAGTAATTTTTTTAATCCATGTGATTTATTCTTCCTTTTAGACAGATACATGCAAAAAAAAATCATGAATAACAACCATTTCACTCTGAAAGCATGGAACATTATATTTGCTATCAGTTGCAATTAGGGAAAAACAGAGAAATCTCCCTTTTATTTAAAATATTGGTTTATGGAGCTTTATTTTTAACAAAGTAATATACTATGCAATCATGAATATATGAAACTATAGCTTTTCATGAAACAGTTCTCATTTTGTAATGTTTAAATTTTAGCTGAATAGATTTTTGAAACAGTGGATTAAAGTACTCGGAGAAGCTTTTTATTTCAGAATTTAGAGAACATATACTCTGAGTTTATTATTCTATTAAACTTTTAAAGTAGATTTACTGCAGATACTGTATTAGAAATTGCAAGACTTAACTGGTGCTGGGTTCCCAAATTTATCCCAAGACAAACATCCTCCACATCTTTTTACTGTATTGACATTTATCTTAGCATTGAAGTCTCTAAGCAACCTCTCACCTAAAACCGCCATACAGGGAACTATCAACAGAACATAAAGTAGGATTAGTTTTTAGATTGTCATATGTTGTTCTTTAAAGCAAGGGATCAGCTTTTTTTTCACTAAAAATGTCAAAGTTAGCAGTATCTCCGCAAAAATAGCACCTTTCTGTTTCTTTGCTTAATTTTTAAAGGCATAAAAATGCAAGAAGTAATGGTGACACTTTGCATGCGGGTTGGAAAGACCATACTAGGTTTTTTTTTTAATTCCTCAGATTTTGTTTATTATTTGTCTTCTGGCAGCATTTTTGTCCTTTTCTTGCTGTCTCCTTCAGAGGCTTTTGAAGATAGTATGGAGAAGAAATCGACCAGAATTGAACTCCATAATGCTAGACAGAACTACAGTTTTATATCTCAAGCATCTTAGTCCACTGGCATGCTGTGACAATACTCCTTAATACCCTTGTTCACAGAGTGCTGTGTTTGTGAGGCAGGTTTTTCTGTTGATCACTAATCACTGTGTTACATTATGTAAACATTTTTGGAACATGGTGTATTTGAAGCTCTCTTCTGTACATAATTACTATGAACAAGCTATTTTCACCAGGTGCTAATATACAGTTTAATAAAATACCTAATTCTTTTAACCAGGAACAGTAGAAACTGCAGAAGTAGTCATGAGCATCGGTTCAGGTTTTCAGTTACATTGGTTATACTACCTCCTTTTCTTCTGCTAAGACTCAGCAGGAGTGATTTTTTTTTTTTTTTAATTTTTTATTTTTTCACATCAAATGCTGGATCTTGGAATGCACAGAACAAGTTAATTATTATTTGCTAATTTGGACTAAGGAGAAAAGGAGAAATTTTCATTTGCCTTAGGTGATGGCAAATAGTCATTCAAATAATATATGTTATCACAAAAGCTAACTTAGAATGAGCATGCTGCCCAGGAGATAGCTAGTATGGTCAGTCTGCCTTATTTAGATGTAGAACAGTGTGATTTTAGGACATTTTTTTCAATCTTTGTAATGCAATTTGTTTTTTGCTCAAAACACTAATTTTACAGTACATGCCCATTGCAAAAAATCTGTGGGGACTTCTCCTCAGGCTGGAACACAGATAAACTACATAGAATATTGTCATGGGGTAAACCATGGAAGTTGCTACTTTTTCAGCAGATGTAGATGCTTCACTGCTGTACCAATGCTTGGTTTTGTGACCTTTCCAGACTCTCTGAGTCCTTAAAATCACAACGGATGAGACTCACAGATCAGGCAGCATGACAGGATGCTGCTGATGCATGAACTGGAGATGCCACAATGGGGAATGAGAAAGCAGTGACTAAAGGAGCAAGTCTGATGTTCATCATGTGAGACTTGACAGGTCTGCATTACAATGAAAGACAAATAAATGGTTCCTGTCAGTGAAGTTTTTGGGTTTTTTTCCTTCTACTTCTTCTTAGAATAGATGATACTTTCAGTCTCATCCTTGTTAAACCCTGTAAGCGTTAAAACTGTGACACAGAACTGAAATGCAGGTTTTAATTCTGTGAGTAAGGGACCGGTGTAAATCACTACATTTCTGCCATTGATGGAAATGAGTACTGGGTGATCTGTCTTTGCAGTGTTGTTGCCATGGCTATGGGGTCATAGTACCAGATATGCCATTACATTTCCTGCATCCTCATGTTCTACGTGCAATAGTTTCATTGGTGTTTTGAAGAGGGAAAATTTGCACTGTTTTTAATTTTCTGTTGCATAGCCTGCTGTCTTGACTTCAGTAAGCTCACTTGGGTCTGTGGAGATCAAACAGGCATTTTATGCATCAGCCTTTGTAGGTATCTCGCTTTGGTACATGTCCTGGGGCTGGAGAAAAAAAGCTTCATACTCTTGACTTCAGTCAACACCTAATCTGAGCACTCACACCACTGTGCATTTGCATGTCTCTGCAGGCAAGGGACAAACTGCTACCTGGAGTGGAAGAGGTACTTCAAGTCTTCCTGCACAATTTTTGGTGCAAAGTGTAACTTTAACAACCTTGAAAACGTCTGCTC